TAAATTACAGTTACAAATTTCCTTTGTTTCATCTGGTACTCCCCAACTTTTCTTTAGCTGGAATTGTTCAAAATTTGACCTCTCAGTATCGTTCGTTCTTCAGGCATTTATAACACAAAGAGCCACACTACTACCATGCTCCTGTGTTCCACCCAGGCTTCCTAGAAAAACAGTTACAGTCCAGAGAGACATGAGACCCCTGGGACTCCATTACATTGCTTTGCTCCTCACCCCTTCTCAAGCCAAGCATTTGTAATATAAAATTCTCATTTGGAAGTGGCCTCACAGGATTCATTGCTTATGTACTCTATTTCTTCTATTAACAAGAATGAATTTCCAGAAACAATTAATAAAGGACTGGAGCACTTACACAGCTGAGATACCAAACAAGTGATTTTTACATTATTCCCCACAATCAAATTTAAAAATGAGAATTGCTGCCAAAAATGAAGGAAAAGGACATTGTGGGATTTTTTATTTCTTATTCTTTGACATTTCTGTAGGCTTCACAAAAGGTCAGCATGTAGTCTGCTTTCTTTATTACTTAAAATATGGCCAGGTCAAAAATAATTGGCCTGTTATTTGAGATAGCAAGCAAGCTTACCCTTCACAAATGTCACCCATGGTCCAGGGGGAAGGTAGGGATGCCTGAAACTAAAGGCTGGTCTGGTTTTGCTTATGCTCCCTCTCTCTCAACAAATGGTAATTCATTTTGTTTTCTTCTTCAGGATGGGATTTTTGTTGATGTTTCTGGAATGCTGCATGCTGCTGTTTGTTATGTGGCAAAAGAGAGCTATGTTGTGTATGTTCAGAATTTGCACTGGCTCAAGGTTCAGCTCAAGGACAGCATAATTCACCCTGAAACAGTCTTTGCACCAGGATGTGTGTGCTAAAAGTAGCCTGTTCAGTTATTGCCTCATTATGAGTCAGAAACAGAGCAAGGTACATAATATAATCAGGTAGAATTCAACAAAAAATTGAGAATTTTTCGAATGCAACGGAGTTAACTTTTAATGAAGGGCCATTCTTGAAGATTGGTAAGGGCTCCATCTCCTTACTTATTAAGGATTTGTGAAGCTAAAATGAGAGACAGTTGTAGACTTGGGAAGGGGTTTTCTTGACAGTATCAATGATCAGATTAACATTTTATTTGTGCATTAACTTGTTTTTGTGAGCTAGAGGTTAGGCTTAAATGATTCCTTCCATTCATTTCATTCCATTAAATCACATGAGAATGTGATTTAAATAAAAATCCAGTGTTTACAGAACATTTCACTTACCTGAAAAACCAAAGTAATTTCATTATATAACATGAATGGTGTTATATGTTAAGTAGCAGGTTGTAGTGAGATAGTCCTTCTGTGGCACTGACCACGCCCATTGGGGTGGAGCCATGGGCGGAAGTGACCTGGGGAAGGAAGTTGGAGGGAGAGCCGGGAAAAGCTCTCTTGCTGGCTTTACTGGGACAGGAGAGGATCTGGTTGAATTTCCTGGTGTTCATCTCTCTAGGTTGTAAGTTATTTCTCCCTGAATAAACATCTATTCAGCCTATTTGTTTATCCTGATCCTTATTTAACCGCGATATCGGGTGTCAGGAGTGGGACAAAATTACAGCAGGTCTTTACTCAGCCAAGAAGAACCTCAAAACAAAGTTACATTGCTAAACTTTATAATCAAATATTATTAGCTGTTGTCATGTTTAACTTGAATAACTTGATGGCTTCTGCATCTTTAGAGAAAACAACATCTGGGCATGTCTATGAAAACGTTTCTAGATTAAGGTAACTCATGTGGGAAAACTTAACTCAGGAGGTCTGCATTGCTCATATTCAGCACCCTTGCCCCTAATATCAGTTAGTTATAGGATTGCCTCTTGTCTGCCACATCTTTAGGATGCTCAGTTTGTTCAAGCTTCTGAGTGTTTCTTGTTTGTATTTTGTATGTGTCATATACAGAGCCAAATGGTTTCAGTTTTGCCAAATAATTTATGACATTGACACAATTTATTGTCAATCCTTTGTCTGGAGGGATGATGCCTTAAGAAAAGGTTCAGTCAGTTACTGTTGTGGAATATTTGTTTGCACTGTGAAGAAATGTCTTTGCCAAGGCACCTTCTGATCATTTTATCAAAGAGCTGAATGGCCAATAACTAGGCAAGAAGAGGTTAGGTGGGACTTCCAGGGACAGACAGGACTCTGGGAAGAAGAAAGATGGAGACTCTAGGAAACAGAGCAAACAGTGTGTGCAGGAAGAGAGGGAAAGCCATGAGCCAGTGGCAGAATATAGATGAGTACAGATGGGTTAAATTAGTGTATAAGAGCTAGTTAGGAACAAGCCTAAGCTATAGGATGAATTTCATGATTAATAAGAAGTCTCTGTGTCATTATTTGAAAGCTGGCTGGTGTGACAGAGAAAGACTCATTACAAGTTATACCAGTGTAGCATGTTTATTTGATTGAACTCCAATAAAACACTTGGATGCCCAGGTTTAGGTAAGTGAACCCCTGACTGACAGACATACTTTGCATGTGTTGTTACGTAGCTTATGTCATTGCTGAAGAATTTATTAAAGTTTTCTTTATTAAAGAAAACTGCCTTTAGCCTGATGGTTGAAAAACTTAGTGGTTAGGAGTCTTCACTGTTGAATTAGTTACTCATTCCTTAATAGTCCTTTCAACCAATGCCTCCCTGTGACAGTGACCACAGGTTGTTTTAATTTGATTACATCCTCTAGCTGATGGGAGAATTGTTGATGGTTTAGAAATGTTCATGACTATTCTGTTGTGAATTAATTGCCTATGACTTTCACTGTTTAATTTGCATATACTCTAATAATGTTCCCCATAATTCAAAAAGCACTGATGCATTTTCCAATAATTTATTCCATGTTCGTTTTATGTCTCTTTCTTTGGTACCCAGATTTTGTGTAAAGGTTGCCCCCAAGAGCTGGGTGTAGGGGATGCTTGGTTTTCTGGTCTGCATAGAGAATTTCTGGACCCTAGAGGATTCAGCTCCTCATTTGATGCTCACTGGGGCTCAAGTCCTGTCTCTTCACACCAGGAAGAGGCAATTATTTATAACTAATTGGGAGAGATTGAGATGCAGCCAAACATTCTACAATATACATGACAATACTTCATAGCAAAAAAAAAAAAAATGTGTTCCACATACTATTATGTATACAGTTCCAAGGTTGAGAAATGATTTACAGTGACTATTTCCTATGCTAATAGATTGTCTTTAACATTTACATAATCAAAAATTGAAATCAGGACAGAAACACTTAACTAAGTGGTATATGCTTTTATCTATTCACAGTGTGACTATTTTTTTTTTTTTTTTTTATCTTTTTAGATACAATTCGTAACGTTCTAGGTACCAGAGTCCAGGAGAAAAGACTGAATGAACAAAAATTTGGCAACAGAAATTTATTGATTAGTTTGCAACATTAGATACAACACATGGTTACATCCAGTATTTGTGCTTTGGAGGACAAGTAAACATTTATTGGAGCACAAGAGTTTACACATAATATTTTGGGATTGTTTGAACAATAGAAGTGTCATTTCCCGCAGAATCAGGCACCCACAGCTAAGCACTGGACCATACTCCTGGTCAGTTTTAGAGAGGGATGAGGGATGAGCAAAAAGTCAAGACCATGCTGGAGAAACCTACAGAAACAGCTGAACTGAACTAATGACAGCACAGGGACCCCAGTCATAAAGCTGGGGAGTCAGCATTGGACTGAACTAAGTCTTCTGAATGTGGGTACCAGTTAGAAGACCTAGAAAGTCTATGGGACCTCTGACAGTGGAACCAGTATTTATTCCTAGTGCACAAATGGACTTTGGGAGCCCATTCCCTATGGTAGGATACTATTTCAGCTTAGATACACAGAGGAGGGCCTAGGCTCTCCCCCAAATAATGTGACATACTTTGATAATCCCCCATGGAAGGCCTGACTATCCTTGGGGAGAGGGTGAGAGGTAGGTTGGGGGAAGTCTATTGGGGACATGGGAGGATGGAAGGGGGAGGGAATGGGGGAATTGATATGTAAAATAAGATTGTTTCTAAATAAAAAAATAAAAAAAGTCATTTCCCATATATTAGCATAAAGAAGCACAGTTCAGTTTGAGATGATATCTAGGTTTCAAAACCTCCTCGTTAATGCACCCAATTGAACATACACCTAAATCTGGACCATCGGCATGATAAATGCCCACTGAGGTCTGTAGAAGATTCCTGTCGTGGAGGAGGGGGGCTGTGTCCCACCAGGAAGCTTTCTTGGAGTTTTAGGATTCAACTGATAGAAAAGTTGACATTGATGGTGTGGGGCATGGCTCACATTAAAAGGTATTCTGTATGCTTAAAAAATAAAGTAAAATCACACTATTTCAGAAGTCACTTAACTAAACATCTTTCTGATTGAGAAAATAAGAGTGGAGAATATTTAGTTAGAAGGGAAGAAAACTTTTAGGGTCATATACATACTTTGAGTTTTCAAAGGAGCACATTCCTATCTTTGTTATAAATTAAAAAAAATGTGATAAAAGCTTCTATTTCTCTAATTTAGTGTCAGTATCACCCAGCCTGGAAATCTGCTTTCCTGGCTGGCCCTGTCAAGCACAAGGCCATTACCCTGCATCCATCATTATAAATGTCTTTGGAGATACATGTCAGCTATACAAATGTCAGCACATTCATCAAACAATCAGCTACCGAGCTTCATGACACTCTACAACTTGAGACAACAATCTTTTCATGGTTTATGAAGTTCTAAGACAACAATATATTCTTTAGATAATCTCTTCATAATTTACAACAAAACAAAATGATTTTTTTCTCATATAACTCAATACACAAGCTTATTTTATCTCAAAAGACTATTATTTATTTTATTGTTTACTTTTAAAAGCTTGTCTTTAGGCAAGAGTTCCATAATAATTTTACCCAAGTAATAAATGTAGTGATGGAAACAAGGTGACCTTGAGCTACCTTCATTGAATGATAATTGACACCCTTCATTGAATGACAGTAGTCTTTTGAGAAGCTCAGGGATGATATGGGGGAGGGGTCATACTTAACAGCCTCTGCAATTAAATGAAATCACCTCATGTGGATTCTGTCAACACTGTTGCATGTGTGTTAATACTCACTGATACTTGTCTGAGAGTGGAAATCTTTCACATAAAGGCATGGAAGCTTTCAACTATATCCCAAGCATTTCCTTGGAAGAACAACCCCTGTACCTGCTAAGTAAAGTATGATGAAGGTTTTAGCATAATTTTTAGAATTATTGTGACCTGATGACTTTGTCTCTATTTGATTCACATAGCTGGAGACATTACAGATCACTCTATATTGTGACATACGTGTGAGTTTAGTTTTCCTGGAGGAGGGGTTTGTTATAAACTTTCCTATTTGGACTCCACTGAAGTATCCTTCTTTGAAGCCATTCTATATAAGCTCTTTTGGACGAAACCATGGTGATATTGATTAGTACAGACCTATATTTCACAATCTCTCAGACTTGTTCCTATTCTGTGGTACTGGAGCAGATTTTTAAATAGTTCTGCTAATGGGATGCAGTATATCGAGGAAGTTCGGAGCATTTAGCGCAAACGACTGTAACCTAAGCTGGGATAAAGGAAGGAAAGCCTTTGTGGGGTGTACCTGACTTATCCCAGTTCCAGGAGCCAGTCAAAGAGACTCGGAGTCCCCTCTTTCTTCTCTGCATGCATTTTGCAGTACTGGACAACTGCATGAAATATATCCCCCACCTTCCAGGACTTCTGATGAACAAGCTTCACAACATCTAGAAACTAAAAAAAGACACGGAGTTAGGCCTCACATATTCTATTTCCCTCACCAGCATTTCACCAAACAACCTTCCAAAGCCTGGGGCTTTGCGTCTGTGCTTCAGCATCTTTACTTTCAGGGGACATTTTCAAAGATAGCCTGTTTCTCTTTTAGACATTTTGGATAATGAATTCCTTCCATTTTTCACTTCTATTCTTAGTGGAGGACTGGGTGGAGTAAGGACAATTCCTCCTAGAAGCAATCTTTTCGGTAGCTGGTGTTTTCTCTGGTTAATTTTTTATTTGGGTTAGACTTCTTGCACCAGGACTGGAAAATAATTTCTCACTGGATGTGTACATTAGGGAAAATAAATTGAGTATTAAATTTCTGGGCCACACAGTGCTTCCATATTCAATAATGAGAAGTACTTCTCCCTCCACATGCTAAGATTAAGCATCAAAATGTTTTTGTATAGTGAAAGGAAAGCAAGGGCATGTCTTAGATTTGTCAGATAGTATCGGTATCATACTTCGGACAACCGAAGATTCTAAGAATGTAAGTAAATGATGGACTTAAGATTTTTATTGATAGAGTTTAAGTAATTTAATCTTCTAGGCTGGAAAATGAAATATTTTAATATCTGGTAATACAAATATTGTCTTAAAGAGTTTTGGGTTTTTTTTTTAAAGGAAGGCAGATATTCATTGTATCATGGTTACCAATATCCCAAGAGTAAGGTACTATCTGAGCCATGGTTTTCTTTCCTTTGCCTATAGTAAAGAGTCAATATTTCCTGAATGACAGAAAGGATAGGAGGCCAAATGGAGTCAAATACATTATAACCTCAAGAAATATGGGTAGACATCTGTGGTGATATATTATTTATGATTTATTAAATCTTGTCTGAGGATTCAGAATGCAAAGCTAGCCACAAGCCAAAGAGGCCAGGCAGTAGTGATACACATCTTTAATGCCAGCAATCTCATACTAGCAAGCCATTTAGCCAGGCAGTGGTGGCACACACCTTTAATCCCAGGGCTCAGGAGACAGGCAAATGGATCTCTCTGAGTTCAAGGCCACCCTGGCCTACCCAAGAGTGCAGAATAACAGAGCTCACACCTTTAATCCCAGCACTAGGGAAGTGAAGACAAGAGTGATATGGCTGGGTGGAGAAAGGAATATAAGGCAGGAAGAATAGGAACTCAGAGCTTTTGCCTCTGAGGATTTGTGGAGACAGGACAGCCCTTTCATCCTGAGATCGATGGCAATAGTGGCTGGCTGCTTTGCTTCTCTGATCTTCAGCTTCAATCTTGAACCCCAAAATCTATCTTTGGTTTATATTTTTTGTGATACAGACATCTAATATTGTTAAGGATAAGCCCACTACTAAAAGTATTCTCCAGTTTTATGCAGCATGTTTGTACACATATAATTAAAAACAAACAAACAACGGCAACAACAAAAAACAAACATGCATACCCATGTGGTGATTGCTTAATAATTCTCTACTGAAATGAAACTTCATGGAGATGGTTGGAGGTGGGAAATGACAGCAGCAAGTTTCTATACAGAAGATGGCCACAGAGCTTGTCTCCCATCGCACAGTGACATCAGTCACATACGTTGCTGAGGTGGCATATCCATCACCTCATTTTATTACTTGACACAATAGCAATGGGAGTCTAGCCTATTTAGCTGGGATCCCTCTCCATCCTTTTTGATTTCTTCTCTGCCTGATTTTGACACTTCAGGGACAAATGTGAACCCTTCATGGGAAGACTTTTTTATAATGCAAATACCTTGAATAATGAATGGTCCAGGTGCCTGGTTTATGGAGACATATAATTACATGTTAGTGTGTATATAGACTCAGGTCATGTTTTGAATGGAACAAGAGTGCAAACAGGAAGCTTTAGAGTATTAGTGACAATGTGAGCAAAGGGGGTGGAGGAGGCTAGGACATCTAATAAAATCAATTAATCAATCTTCCTTAACTCTTTCTAGGCATCTGTCTATAGCCTGGACATTAAACTTCTGAGAAGGCCTTGAGAGATACTCATAGGTCACTGGCTTCTTGGTCAAGATTTCCCTGAAGGGTCACACATAGCCTTTGGCTAACATCTTCCATTAAGGATATACCTTTTTTCTTCACACATCAACATCAAATCAATGAAAAGTCAACATACACTGAATTTGCCACAGCTCATTTCTGTAAACCCCAGGTTATTCTGCCACCATCCTACCAGTTAGGTCTCCAAATCACTGCTAAGGGAGCACTCTGAAGAAGATGGTCTTTCTAGAAGCCTCTATGTTTCAAACCTTCCCAGAAGCCAGGTTCTAGCTCTGTTCCATATACGGGGACCCTTGAAAAAGGAACTTTCAGAGTGGTGATAACCAAAAATTGCTGATGATTGACCCGAAGCGCCCCAGAGTTAGGCCACTCAGCTAGTAGTTATGTGGTGGCCATTGGCTAGAATGTGTCTACTAATTTCTAAAGTCAGTCTGCTATCCAATTAGACCTCCCCCCTTTTTTTTTGTATTTTCTTTTGTTTCTGAGACAGAGTCTTCTTATGGAGCTCTGGCTATCCTAGAATTTACTTATGTAGACCAGGATGGCCTCAGATTGATGGTGGTTCTCTTGCTTTAGCTTCCCAGGTATTGGGATCGTAGGAGTGTGCTAGCATGTTTCACTCAAGGTAGTCTAAAAAGATGATCTGACCCCACTAAATGAAGCAGCTGCACTAATTTAATCTTGGATCCTGAAGCCTTGAAACATGTGTGGAATTGATGAACATGAAGGTCTTGTGCTTCCCCCATAAAAAATAGTGAATGTGAATTAAGATTGGGAGTAGACAGAAAGGACTTTCAGCCTTTAACCCTTCCGGATGCTGTGCATGCTAGCTAAGAGCTCTCTCACGAGCTGTATCTTCAACCTTTTATCAACTTAGTATTTTGAGACAAGTGCTCAAGGGCACCATGAAATCTTTGGCCCAGGCTGAACTTGAATTTGTAGTTCTCTTGCCTCAGCCCCTCCAGTAGCTGGGATTTACAAGCTAGAACCATCAGGACCAGTTTATGGTCCTGTTTTTAAATCTACATTCTATTTAGTAATTGACCTTAGAGCTTTCATTAAGCCTGCTCATACTATGGTCATAATCAGATTTAGTATGTCAGGGATTTAGATTTTGAACCTGCTCCACTAACAAATAACAACAAAAAAACCATTTCTGTATTGACATTTCAGAATCAACAATAATTAGGTTCTTTTCCTGTAGACCAAAGTAGACTTCAGACATATTTTTCCCCCTGACGTTGTGTCTTAGGAAACTCAAGAGAAACTGTATTCTGTGACAGTTTGTTATAAGGGGAATCATCTAGGAAAAAACATCTCATTGTTTCTCATTTGTATTCTTAGGTGCATCTTGTAGATTTGATTGTTTACAGTTCATGGTAGAATTACAGGAATTGCAGCTTGCAGCAAGCAGTGTGGGGTTTTGTTTGTTTGTTTTAAGACACATTCAATGCACACTTCTGAAAGCTGTCACTATCTTTTGCTCCAAGACAGAAATTAGATTTCATTAAGTAAGAGTGAGTGGATCCCTATTTTATATCTGAAGTTACCGCCTATAAAACCCAGAGTCTGAACTTGGACTGGATCTTGGAATTCTAGACTTTGACCAGGACCTGGGATTTGGGTCTTACTTCAGAGATTCTGAACTGACTGGCAAGGCTCTGACTTGGAAGGCTTTCTGGGATGATGCTACCCCCCACCCTCCATCCAATTTGAGATTTCTGATGAAAGATTCAATGCAAGACAGCATATTTTGTTTACTAATGAAAAGTCTTAGGATCCAATTTGTAGGCTTTTTCCTTTTTCTTTCCTTTGCCTTTGTTTACAGCTGCTATTTTAACTCCCGTGTTTTTTATTTTTTCAGAAGGGGATTTGAGTCAACAGTCAGTCCGAATCATCAATGTTTCCTTTCATTGTCCCTCCACCACTTTGCGTGCAGAATAGAATAAGAAATTAGAGGGGAGCCCGTTTCTGTTCTCTCACTTCCATAGGAAGGTAAGGGTCCATCTATTTCCTTTCTTTACACTGCTTCCAAGGAAAGTGAACCATTCTCAATGCAAGTTTAAAGACAAGCAGTATGCCATGTTTACTCTGATGCCAGACAATGGCTTAGCTCAGATTTCAGAAGCTCACTGAGCTTTTACAGAAGGAAAAAAAGCTGAAGAACAATGATTTCTGCTTTAAAACAAAACAACAACAACAACAACAACAACAAACCCAAAACACTCCCCCATCAAAAACCCTGATAAGTAGCTAGTTTAAAAAAGATTTTAAAAAAATAATTCTGCTAATGACAGTTATTTATTTACTATTTATTTCTTTTGTCATCAGTTAACTGGATTAAATTGACCCGATGTCAAGATTGTCGAGAACTAAGTTTGTAAACTGTTTTAGGTTATCAGGTGTCAGAAGTACCAAGAGTGTTCACCAGGGAAAATTCCTAGACTTTAGTGGTTTTTGAATGGCTAGAAGGAACTGATGGATTTGAGTTGTGAATATATCTCCAAGCTGATTCTGTTTTGTGCTTATTAAATTCATGGGTGTGGTTTAGACACATCTCTGTTTATTCTTTCTGGACTGAAATGCAAGCTCTGAAATAGCAGGAGCATTTGCTTTTTTTGTAGCCTGGGTCCTGGAGCTTAGGCCACTACCTGGCACTCTAGGAATGTTTAATGGATGTCTTGAATGTATGACATTCAAGGGCGTGTAGCTGTCTAATGATTAAATAAAATTCAAATGAAGGGGAAGTCTGGGAAATGAAGGCACCTTGAGTCATTAGAACCTACAATTCACTGGGCATCTGGAGTACTTGGAATTTGCCTTTTCTGGGATTCAGTTTTTAATGTCCGTAAGTGCCTTCCTGGTCCAAGGCCAAGTTTTCAAGGCATCTCAGAAAAGATGAGTTGTTCTAGTGTTCATGTGGCCTCTTTCCTCTTTACCACATGCTTCTGTTATCACGAGCAGGAAGGTTAGTAAGCTGAGACTGCCACAAATAGATACATATTGACTAAATTGGTTGTTGAGAGAATTAAATCCAGATTCCCAGAAAAAAGGATAGGCTACTGGACTTCAGATGTAACTCAGTTGTTAGTGTTCCCTAATGTGCATGAAGCCATGGGTTCAATTCCCAGAACAACACAAACCAACACATGAGAGGTTCAGGCACAGAGCTCGGAAGTTCAAGTTTGGTGTTGGAGAGATGGATCAGCACTTAACGGCACATCCCACTCTCGTAGAAGGATCAAGTTCTTTTCCTGGCTCCCATATTGTAAAGCTTGCAATAGCCTGTAACTCCAGAGGGTCAGATATTCTCTTCTAACTTCAGGGACACCTAAGCTCACAGGCATATGCAACCTCCCATAATTAAAAATAAAATAGGTTCAAGGTCTTCACCTCCTTCACAAAGAATTCAAGGCCTTGAACTACATAAGACCTTGTCTCAAACAGACACAAAACAACAGCAACAAAAAGATGTAGGATATTCATTTGTGGTCTGTGGTCTGTGGATGCCCTTAGTTCTGACAGCAGGCAGATGGCATCTTCTGAACTTACGGTTTCTTTTCTCTGGGAAGAGGAGGAGCTAAAGAAATGTTGCTGATTTTGCACACTATCTTTAGTGCTCTCTTTTCCACACTCTTAAAATGCCTACTTAATTACTTGTTTAATTAAAAACAAATAGAATTGAGCCTCAGACCTTGATACTGAGAAAAGAATGTCTAAGTGTTATATAAGTTTCCTTTATTTAACCAATCCAGTTATAGACAAGGAAAGGTGGTGCCCAGTTATATCAAAGCCATTATGTGCAGAGAGGCTTCATTGACTCAGAACATAACTTGGGCATTTTAGTCCTTAAGACTGCATCAGTAAGATTTGTGTTCCTTGAGCTGGTTGACAAGAGTGGATAAAAGATCATCCAGTGTTTTCCCCAGTAACAGCAGAAACTTCTATCTCCTCAGAAACACAGTTATAAACAAAGAAAGATATTGGTTTTAAAACTGAAAACCTGGTAGATGTAGACAAATACCAAGTTAAGACATAGTTTACATATTAACACATCAATAAAAACCCCCTAACCCCGCTCTTGCAACAGTGGAGAACTCACTAAACATGCATGCATGGAAAGTGACTGCTGGGGTGGGAAGATTGAAGGGAAAGTTAAAGAATTAGTGAGCCCTGCATCGCTTTGCTAACAAAGCAAGGATCATTAGGAAGATGCCTGGGCTGGGTGGACTTAGATGGAAAAAGAAGAATGAATTACTGGTTGGAAAGAGGTGGATGTGGGAGAGGCCAAGGGAATGAGCCCTCCAGCAGCTGATCCAATTGGCTGGGGTTATAGAGATTTTGAAACCATTCTAATTTCCATGTCTGTGGGCAAGAAGGTAAGGGCTTTATCCCAGGATGCTGGATTTTGGCACTGAACATTAAAGCTCAATCGCACATTAGAAAAACAAAACAAAACAAAACTGACGATTGCAACCCTTAATGTTATTTAACTGAGAGAGACACATTTTAATAAGGAATTATTCAAGAGTGTTTTGGAGCAAAAATAGAGTTTAGAGCTGTAACACAACTTTGAAAAAGCTCCTGTCTCCTCAGTTCTTTTCCTCTTTATCAGCAACTGTTTAAGAAACTGAAGGTCAGTGAAGCCATGGTGTGTATGTATCACCACGGCTGGGGGCTTGAAAGTCTTTACAAGGATTTTTTTTTTTTTTGGTTGAAAGAACTCAAGATTAAACACTCCAAGTTCATGAGAGTTAAATGGGCATCCACTGGGTTTCCAGCAGTGAGAAAAAGCACAAAACTGTCTTGTTATTTCACCCAGACACAGAACATGGTACCTTTTCAATTCTGCTTTCCTGAGATTTCTTGAAGTAGATTGTGGGGATCCCGAGTTCTGAGGCAGCTATCCACTGAAGGGTGGCTCGGAGCTCAGCATCAGGACACTCTGGCTCCAGGTCAAAGTTGATCACCAGAAGGCTCCTCTGGGGACTGGCTGCTCTCGCTGACAGTCCAGAGGCATGTTCTGAACAGACACAACCACACTGTCACTCTGCTTTCAAAAGGGACACCCCAGGCAATTGTGTATCAAAAGGACAAGAATATGGCTCACCCTTGACGCTTTCTGGTTGCTCTTTAAGATTCTCCTTTTCTTCTACTAATTCACTTGGGGAGGAAAACAACAATATATGGTTGGTAATGCCTTGGAAGAAGAAGCTGTAATGGAAGATGAGGTGATGGGTCTTTCTGAGCTACAAACTTCTGCAACACATTCTTATGACTTTCATGGAACAAAGTAGAACCAGGTGGGTGCTACATAGGACAGCTGAGTCTGCAGTCAGTGTTCCTACCATCAAAGACAGGTCCTGTGTGTCTTGAAAGGCATTAGGTAGGAGTCTGTGGGGGAGATTTTGAGAATTACATTTTTCTTTACTCTTCAACTCCTTTTCCATGGACCTCCACAGGATTGAACAGTTCAAGAGTGACTTGAGGCAACTGGCTGTAATTTGGAGATTCATCCTACTGCCTTTTACCAGTCTCTTAATTGACTGTATTTTTCTGTTTTGTCACAATGTGTTTCTCTATACTGTGGCAATGACGTACATTTGAATTTTAGAGTAGAAAAATAGTTTATACATACATATGGTTCTGCAAGCTGGAATAAGGACAACCAACAAACTGGGAAACTTAAATACTGAAACAGAATGTTTCAATAACAGCGCCTTTATTCTTTTTCCATTATTTTTATTTGGTGGAGATTGAACAGGCTGGAGATTTTTTTTTTTAAATAACAAGTGCCTCATAACGAAACAAAGCCTCTCCTTAGCTGTGGTCATGTTTAATATTTGGAGGTTTTCTGCACCATGCATACTTACTATAGAACCCTGTGTGTAGTGGGGGACCCTGTAAAGGCTCCTGAAATAAACCCAGGCGGCTCAGGAGCTGAAGAGAAGTGACCATCTTGGAAAGCTGGTAGATGACCTATATTTTTCTAGGTTCTAGAAAATTGGAATGAGGCTTTTACAAATGTGTCTTTTGGTGATAGATTTTCTTATATTCTCTGTTACTGTTACGATCATGCATTCTAGTGTATGGATAAATTCCATCAGTGAGGCAAATTTCACAGGCACACACACACACACACACAGAGAGAGAGAGAGAGAGAGAGAGAAGAGAGACAGACAGAGAGGCAGAGAGAGATGGAGAGAGACAGAGACACAGAGAGAGGATAGCCATGCTTCCATTCATAAGTAATTATTTGCAGGAATGTCAATTTTCTAAGGGTTTAGAGCCACTGATTGGTCTCTCTGCAAGTAGTATAAACAACGTAGCAGCAAGGGAGGTGCAATTTCTGTTTTTGTTAATGTTGGGCTGCTGGATAGGGATGGAGGCTATCTTCTCTTTCCCTCAATACTAGATTTTCCTGAAGTTATAGTTTCATATTACTAAGAAAGATGGAGAGCGTAGTAAGCTCTCCACCACAAAGTAATTTTTGTTGAATTTGTTTTCAGTTCTAAAAAAAGAGCACGTATGTGTTTGCTTTCGAGTAATAAAAATGATGAAGGGTGTGGCAACCTCCAATCACCGAAGAATATACCTAATCAGAGGTGAAATAAAATAAATAAATCTGTAGTTAGCCACAGGGAAACACATTAGATTTCTGATGAGAGGATCAGCATTAAAGCTATATGACTTTATTAGTTCTGAATATCCAAATGATATTCTGTGTCATCATAACCAAAATTAGAATACAACTCAGTTAATTTTCCAGAATAATCACAAATTCAAGTAATTGTTATATAAACTCAGGTTGCCCTCCTGGTCTGTGTTATTTTATATAGTACATCTTATGCATCTTCTCTGAGAAGATAGCATATCGAGAGAGCACAGTTATTGCATGGGGATGATATCTCCCTCATGCCAATCATTGCCATTAGATATATTCCATATTGGTAATCCCCCAGTGTCCACAAGCAAAGAAAAAGCCACTCATAACTAATTTTACTGAAATCACTGTGTTCTATGGCAAAGGTTTTTGAATATTTTTCTGAGGGAGGCATGATACAATTTGAATGATTCTGTATGTTGTTTCTGTAAATCAAAATAGGTAAGATGGTCTATCCTTCTGACTATATTGGTAAGCTTTCTCTGCAGTGGCTATTTTTTAAGGGACACATTTGAAACCAAGAAATCAGGCAATGATGGGTATGGGCCTATTCTAGACCTTAGTCTTCCAGTGACATGGAACCACAGTGGCACAGACATAATGAGTTGGTGGCTAGGCACAACCTTCATGATCACGATGGATTGCCAGATGGAATTGAAGTGGTGCTGTCAGTCACTGAGTCACATAGCTACTTACTTAATCATGGGAGAAGATGATATGCTTTCCTGATAAATGTCCAGGTCCATAATGCCAAGACTGCTAGTGGCACTACTGTTGCCATTGCTGACAAAGCAAAAGTTTACATATTAATGCCTGTCTCCACCCTTGGCCACACTATTGATACTGATGGACCATTGTAGGCAGGGGTCCTTTATTGTTCCCCAGGGAACTATGGGTTTGTGTCTCACCTGCATTGGTATTGATGTTTGAATAAATTAAAGGAAGACATAAGATGGAAGCCAATTATGCTTGTGACCGTAATGCGGATAGTAATTTATGATTTCTGAAGTGGTAAATCAAGGGGGTATCCATCAAGAAACTTTGTTGCTTTGGGTATGCTTACAAACTTGAATATATTTCTGAAAATCTGACTGTTGAAAACATCCTAATGATTATCTATCTGCTCCCTGTATCTAGAAAGAGGCCAGGGATCCACAATCTCCCTTTGTTACATGGAGGATTTTTTTTCTTGGAGATATTCTATGGGATTCCATTGAACATACATTTCACTTCTTTTTTGCCCTAGAGGTCTTTAGTATTTACAAGTACAAATTAGGGTAAGGGGTTTTCAATCTCAGAGAAGGAGTGAGATGTGACACCTGTGTCCCAGAGAGAAAGAATAATGTATATAATGACACTATTATAAGTTGCATAATCAACATATGGTTTACTTAGGAGCCAGGAATATACTCTCTGAAACATAGTACCATTGAGACAATTTTTAGTACTTGTGAAATAGAAGCAATCCAATTCTTACCAAACACACTGAGTCTCCTCACACATTCTGCATTTTCCAGAAATATCTTTTCCAAGTCAGGTTTTGCAGTAGTGGCTTCTAATGTGTCATGTAATGGGGCTTTGTCCCTTCAAGACTTCTGTGAGTCACCAAGAAGGCTCTCTCAACCTGACATTCCTTGCCCAGAGTTTTAGACAAAGCCCTGGAGAAAGTTACAGCCTCAAAGCTGACATTCCATGTCCAAAGATTTAAGTTATCATTTTTCTCCTGTTTTATAACATTTTATGGGAATATTTGAAATTTGAGACCAATTATTTATTGTAAAATGTCCATAAATCTTAGGCTGTACAGACAGAAATAGAACATTTGAAGATCTTTTATCTACACCCAGATGTTTCAGCCTCACATTCCAGCTGGCCTCTCTGGACAGTCTGTGATCTTAATAGGGTCAAAAAGGCTTTGAAATAAAAGATCACTTTAGCAGTTACACCTAGATGCCACTTTCTAGCTTTTTCTAGAAACAGTACAGAGAGCAGGGAAGATAAAGGAAGGGACTAGTTAGGGAAACCCCCACAACACAATGTGGAAATAGTAGGCTTCATGTAAACCCAGCCTGTGTTGCATCTGAAATACAAATGAACCAGATAGTTCAAACTCACAAATCTTAATACCAGCTCCCATGAAAACAAACACACAGTTCTTAGCACTGGATGTACTTGCTGTGACTTTTGGGAAATAGGACATAGCTAACTATTAAGCGTGGCAAAGGTGATTCAAATACTAGATATTAAGATAGTTTTTAGTCCAAATCTTGGTAAGCACACACCTTGGTCAACCAGCATACCTCCCCCCTTTTTTACCCTCGCTTTTCTGTTAAGGACACCTGGCACTGAACTATAACACACAGTTTTGGAGTCTTCATCGAGGCTGACTTCTTTAACAAGCCAAGAGAAGGGGAGATACGTACCTCATGGACCGCTCGCTGAGCTGCAGAAAGCTACTTGTGTCATCTGGGTTGTCTTCCTCATTGGCCAGCTGGGACCAGCTGCCTGTACTCTCCTCACTGCTACTCGGAGGGTTGGGGGGCTCGTCCGTGGGTCTGGCTTCTTTCAAGACTTCGGCTTCTGGTTCCTCTCTGTTCTCGAGGCTGTCGCTGTAGACATCAAGTTATTATTACCAATTGAAGAGGTGCAGCATGGAACCGTTCTCAGAGCACACACTGGGCACCCATGAGCCTACATCTCCACACACCAGGCACAATGTTGGACACGGCAGAGTCTCCCTTTAGGCAGCCACTCCCTTTGAAGCTGGGTACCACTTTTTGTTCTCACAATTAAACTCCAGCAGCTTTCTTTTATCTTCCACTTATCATTGTCTACTGGCTTTCCTTATTTTCAAAGTAAGTTGAAAAAAAAAATCATTGTAGTGATGTTTATTTAATTTATTTATTCATTTATTTATTTGTTTATTTACTTGTGTATGTGTTAGGGTGGTGGTGGTGTACACATGCCATGGGACCTGTGGAGGTCAGAGGGAAACTGAGGGAGTTGGGTCTTGCCTTGCATCTTGTGGACTCAGGCCTGGTAGCGAGCCCCCTCTGAAAACACTGGGGATAGGGATGGTGTCATGGTGTGGTTGTCCTTAGGATGTCCTCCCACTTAAGAGGAATGGCTTTGCTTCCTACAATATTGAGATTTGAATAAGTGAAAGAGAGAGGATGGTGTGGTCAAGGAAATAGTGTTTAATTACAACAACAAGAAGAAAAAACATAAAATCAAAAACCAAAAAAAAAAAAAACAAAAAACAAACAAACAAAAAAACAAAACAAAACAAAAAAAACGTAAATAAAGGAGAGGGCTTCTGGCTCCATCTATTCACCCAATTGAAAGCAATTTTGGGCCCAATGCCTTATTAATTTAGGATATTTCACTATAGTAAAATTGACTCCAGGATATTTCTTGCTAAAAAGGGATCTGAGCCCCAGTGACTGACATAGAATATCCAGGTTAACAAATAAGTCTGTCAGCACATTTTATTTTATCTCAATTTCATGCTCTATTTACAGTAAACCTCACATCTGTGCCATAAAATGGAAATTCAGAACCAGTGATGATTACCCAGAGTGCTAGTTTTTGTTTGCTTTCAGGAGAAGCTTATAGCCTTGCTTATTTATTGTAGAATAATGTACACAAGTGTGATGCAGATGTATGTCATCTGTCAGCCTCCCTTCTGACTCCTCAGTTCCCACAAGAGCTTCAGAAGACTGTGGCCATGTCAAAGCCAATTGTCCAACCTCCACGTTGAAAACAAGCCTCTCCTGATTTTTATCTCACACGCCTACTTGCCATCTGTATCATAGTCATAAGATTTCCTTCGGTCAGTTTTTCTTTTAACATAACCTGTGTTATTTTAAGCCATCATCATAAATAAAAAGTAGAGATCACTTGGCACAGGTAGAAGGCAGCAGTTTAAGCACACAACTGGTACCATGCAGCTGTTTATTAGCATAGAGATCCCTTTGAAAGGAGAAATGATAGCAAACATTTTTCACTTGTTACATATTTTATTTGAATGTTAAATGCATATGTGTGCACATATTCACCAGGATTTGAGGTAAAAAGAACATTAGATTTCATTAAGTTTTTTTTTTTTTTACAATCATTGATATTTGCTCACATTTTAATTATTTACTTTCAGGTATTCTTTTAAACTTAATTTGATAATCTTTTAAAAGATTTTTTATTGAATTTATTGGTTTATTTTGTATACGTTAGTGTGAGGATAGTTATAGGAGTCTGTCTCCTTCTGCTATGTGGGTCCTGGGGATCAAACACAGGCTTTATCCATGAAGTTATGGCACCATCCCTGATCTTTTCTAGTTTTTGATGATGGGCATTTAGTACATAGATGATAAACTGTTCTGATTAAAAAAAAAAAAAGAAACATTTAAAAGTATAGATGTCTTTCCTAAGTAGCATAACCATCATATAACAAATTTTAAATACTTGGCATTTTTCATTTGGAGTTTATTTCAACTTCCCCTGTGAGCAATAGTTAATTTATTAATTTGTAAATTTATCAATGTCTAATTGTTGTGGAATATTTTATATACATCCTTTATCATCAACTTTTGAGTTAATTCCAGAGTGATCAGAGAACATATTCTTTATGTTTTAGATTCTTTTAAACATATTGACTTGCTTTCTGGCTTATGACACATCTTCACAAACGTTTTAAGTACACTTGAAAAATGTGTACTTTCCTGTTGGGACAGCCTGTTCTTAAATTGTATAGATTGAGTTGATTGTGAATGTTGCTCCTTTTTAAATCAATATTTTACTAAGTTTTGAGAATTTCATACAATATATTTTGATGTATTCACTTTGATTATCTAATTTCTCTCTACATTTTTCCACTTCTTCCTCCCAACTTTGAGAAGTCTTCCTCTTTATGTATTTATTTTTTCTTATTTTACATATCGATCCCAGTTCTCCCTCCTTCCCTTCCTCCCTCCCTCCCTCCCTCCCACTCTCTCTCCCTCCTTCCTATCCCCCCAGCTCCACCCTCCCATCCAATTCCCCCCCCAGCTCCACCCTCCCATCCCATTCCCTCCCCCACCTCCACTGGGAGGGTGATGCCTTCCAGGATGGACCAACAAAATCTGTCAAGTCATTTGGAGTAGGGACTAGGTCCTCCCTCCTGCCTCCCTCTTTTAACCCCTTCTTTTCCCATGAGTCCAGTTTGTTGCCCAGCTAGCTTTGGGAGTGGTGTCTGCCTTGGTGTGTGGCCAGTTTACTAAAGGTCACATCAATAAAGAAAGCCAGCACCCTTCCAGCAACTCTTCAGCCAGTGGTGGGATTTCTTGTCCACTTGGTCCCCTTCTGCACTGGGATTTTGTCACGAAGGAGCTTGAGCTAGACTTATGTGTGTTGCCTCATCTCTGACTTCATTATTTGTATGTGCCCTGTTGTATCTGGAAGTGTCCTTGCTGTTGCTTCTCTTATAAATATGTGCACACATTTATAGCATGTTTACATATTTTTATTATCTCATGAATTATTAAAAGAAGAATGTTACATTTCTGTGTCTATTTCTCCTTCTTGCTTTTAAAATTATCATATGATGCTTTGTTACTTAGGTGGTTCCATGTACAAGCAGAAAACATCATTATGCTTGATAATACTCATTGTCCTGAGGGCTATTTGGCCTTTTAAAATCTCTTATTTTTCATCCTTTACTTTAGATCCATAAGGAATCCTAGACAGGAACTGGAATTGTCAGTGGTTTGGATTTTGTTAGTCTTAATAGATATTTGCTGCATTCAATTGTTTGAAGTTGAAATTTCTTAATGGCACACAATAGCTGAGCATTGTGTAGCCTTTTGTCGTTGTGTCAGATACCTGAGAGAAATAAAGGAGGGGAGGGAGGTCCATTTAAGCTTAAGTTTAAGAGGGTTCAGTTGGTGGCTTCCTGGTTATGTTGCTTTTTTGGGCTCATATATGGTAAGGCTGGATATCAAGACAGCATCATGGGTTAGAGTAGAGCTGTTCTCTTCATTGCAGACAAGGAGTAAGGAGACAGACAAACACAAGATACAGCTTCTATGGACACTTCTCAGACAACTTACTTCTTCTAACTAGACACACCTAAGTTTACATCACCTATGGACACTTCTCAGACAGCCTACTACTTCCAACTATACACACTTACATTTACATCACATCCCAATAATGTGGTCAAACAATGAATCCAATCATAGGTGGATACAAAGATCACACAAGGCCTTTGTAATGGGCTCTCTTCCCAATGATTATATATAGTTGGGAATCTAGCCTTCTACCCTTGAACCTTTAATTTTCTAATAAGTTGTTTATTTTCTTACGGCTGATTTTTTTTATAATTTTTTAAATTCAAATTTGAAATAAGCTTGTTTTACATGTCAATCCCAGTTTCCACACCCTCCCGTCCTTCCCTGTCCCCCCCCTCAACCCCCATCCCATCCCCTTTCTTCTACCTAGGGAGGGTGACATCTTCCATGGGGAGTCTTCAAAGTCTGTCATATCATTTGGAGCAGGGTCCAGGCCTTCCCACATGTGTCTAGGTTGAGAGAGTATCCCTTTATGTAGAATAGGCTCCCAAAGTCCATTCTTATATTAGGGATAATGATCCCCTACCAGAGGCCCCATAGACTACCCATTCCTCCAAAATAACACTACATTCAGGGAGTCTGGTTTGATCCTATACTAGTTTCCCACATATTAGACTGGAGTTCATGAGCTTCCCCTTGTTTAGATCAGCAGTTTATGTGGGTTTCTCCAGTCTGGTCTTGACTCCTTTGCTCATCACTCCTCCCTGTCTGTAACTGGATTCCAAAAGTTCAGCTCAGTATTTAGCTGTGGGTGCCTGCTTTTGCTTCCATCAGCTGCTAGATGAAGGCTCTAGGATGGAATATAAGGTGGTCATCAATTTCATTATCAGGGAAGGGCATTTAAGGAAGCCTCTCCACTATTGCTTAGATTGTTCTTACTGCTGAATTTTGTGAGATTTTTTTTCTTTGAAGTCATGTTGTTTTATTAGGAAAATCCTATGCTTATGAGAGATTTGTCAACATATAAGAACATTTTGAATTTTAAGATTTTAGATAGTTTTACTTTATCCTGTGTGTTTTTTAGAAATATGTTTTGATAGTCAATGGCTTACCATATTCCACTGATAAAAGCCACTTTAAAGAACCAAGAACTGTAATCTATACATCTTCAAAATATGACACTAATGATTGATTAATAAATAGTTCCATTTAGGAGTGATTTCCACAATGGCTCTTCAACTGTAACTCATTTATCAAGTAATCAAAAAGTAAGAAAGTAGTTTTTATTTCATTGTGTTGAATTTTAACCACATTTTAAAGAAACATGAAGATGTCCTTCAGAGAAGAGCCTAAAAATATCTTCAGGACTTAATCATTCTCCATCTTCAAACAACATTGAGACTATGTCACATTCCCTACTCTTGCATGTAAGTGGGCTGAACTCTTTTACGGAGAATGAAGTTCTGTTTCCAGCTCTTCTGACAAATCAAATCCCATGATAGCAACTCTGAGCTCTGCAAATGTAACTGAACAGTGACTAATTTTTCTGCTTGGCAATCCTAGGAATTCTCTTGTTTTAATATAACTCTCACATTGTCCATTACAGGTTTCCCCATGGGAAAAAGACATCTCCTGAAATAAAGGCCACCATATACCTTCAGTCAAATGATACAAAAAAGAGCAATGACAACAAAGTGTGTTTATTGAATGTTCATAATAGTATTTAATTAAGAGATTTGTATACAAATCAGTATTTAAAATTTAAGAATTATATTATCATTCCAATATCTGCGTGAATAACCCCAAGTGAAAGAGATTAGGAAACTGGTTCAAATTGATATAGTTTAAGGTAGTATAGTTCATGTTGTATGATGATTATATTGCTCCACAAAAACAAAATTGATATTCATTCCTTAGTCTCTGTGCTTTGCAATTAATTTCTGGGATATACTGCATTATTTCTGCTTTATTTGATGAAAAACAGAACCATGCATGTATCTGTATCCTGAAGCGAGATGTTGAAGCTTTGGTGATAATTTGGGACAAGAATCTGAGTCAGCTATGATGGCTTTATTTGTGCAGAGTGTGAAGTGTTTGCAATGTTTCCAGGTGAAGTCTGTTGTAGGAATAGCATCAGTGACATTTAATTTAAAACTGTGTAATTGTAATCACTACTTGATTGTATCTATAACCATAAAGCTTGATGAATATTTTTAGTTCATGGCACTTTCTATTTTGGTGACCTTCACTGACTAGACATCCTTGGTTTCTGCTGACTTTAAGTCAGGTACCTGGAACCAGTGTTTCTCTTTTTTTGAGTATTTCTATATATAACAATTCTGAAGAATGATATATTGGCTATTTTGTACTTTTAGCTCTGATATATTTCTTCATAGTCCTTTGAGCAAAATCTTTGAAGAATACTGTCTATGGCCAAATAATTATTGATTAATCCTCATTTCTTTGTTTATTCAGCCTACTTTGTTAGTCTTAACTTTGTGTTTTTGGTCCTTATTTTATTTATTTACTTGCTGTATTCTCCTTCTGTGCTTCTGAGATCCTAGATAATTGAAAAGAAAAGCTCTTAGCACTAAATGTCTAGCAGGAAGACATCATATCTGACTGGACCCTCTACCAAAGACACCATGTAGAACCCTCTCTGGTGAGGGTATTTTAACACCTCAACATGATTCTCTAGTGCTTAGGGATAAATGTTACAGAGTTTAGAAAACTGGTGCATTTGGTGGTATTGTGTTCAATTTGAGATATATATATAGATATATATATATGTATATGTATATATATATATATATATATATATATTGCATTTTTTTGTAAATGATGAACTGTAGGCATACATCTCTGAAAAGACTACACTGTATGTTTCCAAAGTTTGAATTTTCTGTTTCAATAAACTTTAATTATGGGCTAAAAATAAAGGAATGATATAATGGTACCTTGTGAGGAGTATGCAGAAACTGGAAGTTAGGAAAGAAACTCATATTCCTGAGGGAAATAATTACTTTGCCCCTGATTCCCATTTCATTGCAGCTGCTTGCAGAGCAATCTTCTGCAGAAGCACTGTCCAGGTGACAGCTTCCAGAGACACTCTGCATACCCCTGTGACAGTTACACCATTTACACCATGCACTGAAAGAGCTGACACTTGTGGGACACAGGGTCCCGACAGAGAATTCTTAGAATAAGCCAGAAAAGGGTACTCTTTAGAGAAGAGATGGCAAAAAATGAATCTCAAATTTTAAAGCTAAAATTTAGTGAAATTGAACTATTTCCAAATGAAAAAATTGTTCTTGCTTACTATCGTGTCCTTTTATTGAAAAGCACCTTGAATAATTTCAGCTACCAACCCATCAAAGTACTTGCTTTCATGAGGAGAATGATGCTGCGATTCTTCTGTTATATAAATGAATTCAATTTGTTCTGGAAGTTAAAAAGTAAGTTACTCAATCAACCTCCCTCCTTTCCTCCCTCCTTCTCTTCTTTCCTCTTTCCTTCCTGTTGTTCCTTCATTTACTCCTTTTTTTTTTTTTGCAGTAGGCAGATATTTTACTATGCCATCAGTATAGAAAAAAAAATCAGTTTTATATTCCAAATAGTTAACTGTCCCATTTCAATACTGCCTCAGTTATCTAATGCTGAGGAAATGCCCTAAATAATATTCACAGTTCATTACAAAATATATTTTGATTAGCCTAAAAGAATTTTTTTTTTTTGCTTATAGCAAGGTGTACAGGAACTTTATCAGGTTCTGTCTGGTTTCATATGTTCAAGTAACCATTCATAACGCTTCCTGGCATATGAGTAACATGCAATAAAAATACAGCATTTTGAGCCAAAAGTTATTACAGGTATATGAACAGATTTCCACAAGATGACCAGGGGGATTATTGATCTTAGATGAGGATGAAGATCAGGCATTCTAAATAGAATAGAACAGTAGGCACATTGGGGCCATTACCTAAGCCTACAAATTAGAGCGGGCCCAGCCATAGGAAAGTTGGAAAAATGTCAAAGGATAAGGAGTAATACCTCCCCTTTTATATGAGCACAGGGGCCCATGGAGGTCATTTATTGTCTCAGGAATTCTGTTCGTGTATCAATAATGTCACTGCACTCCTACCTAAGATTTGGAACAATTGTTCTTAGGTCCTTTACCTTCCTAATGCTGGGGCCCTTTAATAGAGTTCCTCACATTGTGGTGATCCCAATAAAATTATTTTTGTTGCTACTTCATAACTTTGCTACTATTATCAATCATAATGTAAATATCTTGTATGTAGGATGTCTGATGTATAGCCCTATGAAAAGATTGTTTGATCTCAAAGGGGTTGTGACCCACAGGTAGAGAACCATTGATTTAGACTAACATTAATTGAAGTGTAAACTCTGGTGAACATGCACTCTATCTGGTCTCAGGGACGATTAACTCACCAACAGCTTTGGCAGGTTCTCAGGTTTGTGTCTCCACTTCTGGCCACATTTGGGATGTTTTCTTCAGGTTGGTGCCCATCTGTTTCTTCTAGGGAGCCACTTTGGGGAAGGATAGGTTCATGTTCTCCAAGGCCCTCTTCTTTCTGATCTGTCTCTATCTGAATCAAAGGTACATCCCTTGAGTTAAGTGTCTGCCTGGGGTTTTTGAGAACAATGGCATTGTGGCATGAGGAAGTTTCTCTTCCAGCATCAAAACCACTGAGTTTTGTAACAGGAGCTGTATTGCTTGGAGATGACACTGAGGAACAATTGCTCCCAGGAACAACATCCTTTCTCTGAGAATCCACAGACTCCTGTACAAGCAGAGTTGGTGCCCTGTGTCCTCTGTTGGTGGCTAATATGTTTGTACACTTCTCTACTTGCAAAGGAGAGCCACTGGAAACAGGACCAGGACTGACACCAGCTGCCTCGCCATCATCCACAATAATCTTGTTCTTCCTCATGAGAGCCTCAATGGAGCTAGCCCATGTTTCATGGATTAGCATGTTTGTGATCTGGTCAGTGCCACTTCTGCGATACAAGCAAGAGTCTGATTTGCAGAGACCAGATGAGGAAGCCCTATTGACTGGCTGTACGTTTAGCGAATCTTGAGGGCAGTTTTGGGCAAAGCCGTCTAAGGAGTTGGCTTTGACTGGCACATTTACTGCTAATCTGGAGCATGGGGACCTGCTGTCAGGCATAGATGACTGTCTGTAACACAGCGGGGAGCGGGCAGAAGGAGACAGCAAGCCCGTGGACCAGTCTTGGCTGCTTCGTCTGGAGGAGGTACCATCTCTGCCTTCTTTGGCAATGTCCCTCAGCATGTACCTGTAGAACTCCTCTGTGATGCTCTCTGTGCTAGACTGCTTAGAGGGGCAGCTCGGCCTCACATTGAGGCGGTCATTTTTCTGGCATGCCTGCATCACTGCTGAGCTCAGAATACTGCTGGCATTTTTGCCAGCGTAGTAATCCAGCAGTAACTCAAACCCTCTCCCTTCATTTTCCATCTGTTTCACCATGAACCTGGAAAACTCGTCGGTGATACTCTCACAGCTGGACTGCTTGGAGACTGAGCTGGCCCTACTAACTGGCTGGCTTAAGGTATTCATTAAACCCAGGCTGTTTACATAGACCCTGGCATCAGAGTCCTCCTCTGGGATGCTTTCGCAGCTGGAGGCCTTCAGCCTGCTCCACCTATCACCACCTAGAAACCGATTCCGGGAACAACTCTGGGCTTGCCACACACCATCCACCATGGAGAACTCCGTTAGGTTCATGATCTTGGCTGCCACTTCATTTGCAAAAGTACTGACGGAATCAGGAGTGTCTTCCAGGTTCATTGACTCATCCATGACTCTGTTCATCAGCTTCTCTTTCAGCTCAGGATGCTCATCTGTTTTTCTCTTGATTTCGCTGAGGCGAGGTGGCTTGTGTTTCCTCACAGTGCTTCCACCACCTGAGTTTTCCTTCTTCCTCTTCAAGGATCGGCAGGATCCATTAGGCGCCACCAGAAACTCGTTCCCTCTTTTCCAAGCACAAAACCATGGCTGTTTTCCATTGGAGTTGTCAAGGCAGATTGCTGCAATTTCGGTTGCCATGGAGACAACAGTCTCTGCCAATTCTTCGGCGAAGTCTGCGATGCAGTAGACCTCAGACTGCTTTTCCTGTAGTGTAGATTGAGCAGGAAACACCAGGTCATCCCCTAATAAGGATCGGCTGACTTGAACTTCGTTGTTTATGGGTGTGACACAAGTGTATTTCTCTTGGGTGTTTGGGAGGATGCTGCTTTCAGTTTCCTGGGAGCCACTGCAGCACTTGCTTGTTTTGGGCAGCTTTCCTATTTCTATAGATGCTCTCTGTTCATTGCCATCATAACTGAACGTGTGGTGAGGGGCCTTTGAATCCTCTCCCACAATCCCTTTCAGATATATGTCTTTGGGGGATGTTTTAGCAGTTGAATCAAGCATTCTGTGACTGAATGAGGATTCAGATTGCATCCTGGGGTTATTGAACAGTCCCAGCCTTATTCCACCCTTGTTTTGCTTGGGAGCTGCATTCTCAAGATCACTGATGACAAGACCAGTGCCATGTGCATTGCTAGGAGCATGACTGCTGGAGCATGCTGAGGCTTTTGCCCATGCTTGACCAGCAACCTGATCATCAAATGACTGGCAGCCCAAGGGTTCCGACTCTGTCCACCTGATGGTTTCTTTAGAAACGTCAGTGGGATGTTCACTAAGCGTGACAACGTGATGCATCTTTTTAAACGTGAAGCAGATCACATTGTGGAGCAGCTGGTTCACACTTTCCATTAAGGTGTCCAGAGTTCCATAGGGATGCCTTTCATCAGCAGGCTGAGCCATTGCACTTCTCTGGTGAACTTCATCAATGGAATGTTTGAGGATGACATTGGACAAGGTCTGTGCCAGTTCATTCCTTTGAATGTTTTCTTTGCACAGGGTTTGGGTTTCGGAAGTGCTTTCTATGATGCTCCTGTTCACAGAGTCCAAGAGGTCTCCAATGCTACTGTATGCATCAGGCCGTGCTAAAACCCGAGCAGCCTCCCTGAGCAGAGCCCCTGCAATGGCTTCCTTACCCAGCTCTGTGCTCCTCTCTGTTGCTAAACCACCAATCGAGGATGTTTCTTTAGCAACTCCAGATGTGGGCAAGAGGTCCCTTGGAGCTATAGCACATGTCATCTCTTCTCTTTCACCTAGGCCACAGACAGCGACAGCACTTGCCACCTGTGTCATGCCACACAGAGCCGATGGGAAGGAGTATTCAGTTATAGAAGGCTCTTGGGGCACTCGAGTTTGCTGAACCTCACTGCCTCTCTGGGCATGGCTGGATATCAGGGATTCCTGCTCCATGGCGAGTCTCTCTGTGGCCTGTGGACTGGAAATGGTTCCAATGACAGTGGCTGCACAAGCTAGTGCAACTTCTAGGGTACTCTGAGTGGATCTGCTGGTGCTGTCTCCGGAAAAGATGCCTGAGGTTTCAACAGAAACTTCCATCTCAGGCCAGGAGGAGACACATGGTTCTGGGGCAGTGTCACTGCCGTCTGGGCTCTGCACAATGACAATTTTGGGGAGCTCATCCCATGAACGAGGGACCACCATATCTCTTCTACAACAGCCACCAGGCATCAGAGAACTTCCCTCAGAGAAACTGACAGACGATTCCCCGGGGAGTATCGGTTGCTCCTGAGACAATCTGATGAAGGCATCTTGCAGCACTGATTCTGCTAAGTTTGTAGCATACTCTCCTGTGGTGGCTTCTCCATTTTGAACAACTAGAAGAGAGTTTTGCATGCCACCACGGTCCCTGGGGTTACTGCCTTGCTCAGTGACAGCTCCACACAATGAAAGCCCATCTTTCTTAATCATGGAGAGATAAGCGTCCCTAGGGATGTACAGCATCTGAGATGTTTCAGTTTCTCCTTTGATGTTTTCAGGGTAGGAGTGGTTTGCAGCCAGCTGCTTGCTCCCCTCTGCTGCTTCACTTTTCCAGCGGGATGCCCTGGCTGAAGGATTGAGACTTTGCAAAGCTATGTTCTCTGCTATGTTTTCCTTTGATCCTTCTGTTTTCATCGAAGGTGTACGGTATTTTCTAAAGTGTTTTTCCCCTAAAGCACAATGTGACTTTTCCTTGTGGTAATCCCATCCTTCCTGGGTCACTTCCTTTGGCTTTTTACCTTCCAAAACATTAGCTGACACGTTTATAGTTTCAAAACCTAGTAAAGAGAAAGTGAGGACTGACCATCATTACATTTTGGATAACAGATTCTACTGAGCCTAAACTAACAATTTCTTTCTAAAATTTCATCCAGCTCTCATTCCCCCCTTTTAATACAACACTGTGGCTGTTGCCTCATTTGAAGTGAATCAAATACAGATGTTGAGTTTTGTTATGGAATTCTGTTGTATAATGTGCCTTTAATGTGGTTCACAAATGCAGGGGTTAGGGGAGGAGAAGGTATTTGGGAATGATGGCATGCCATCACTTTTCCCTGGGAAAGTGACACAGGAAATTGAATTGCAGGGGAAGGGAGAGAGAAGGGGTGGGGGGCTAGAAGAACTTCATGGGAGCTGTGTTGCAAAGATTTGCACTGAAGTTTGCACAGGACCTGCCTCAGCAACAGTGCAACACTTCATGCAAGTCCCTTCTCTCTGGTTTACAATGGGGAGAGGTACACACTCTCTGAGTTCTGTTAATGAATTAATAACATGTAAATGAGAGTTGAGCACTTTGCTGGGTCATTCCCTTCAAATGTCACAACCACCACTAACTAACTGTAAGCCCTCTTGGAAACCAACACTTAAAAGAGATCAGAGAGAAGCCTTAGGTCTCAGAGTCTCAAAGTGAAGTTCTAGGATTCCAATCCAAGCCAGGCCAATTTGATTCCTGTTGATAATACCGGCTTTTGTGGAATGTTTGAGGAAACTAACTTTCTTATTAGGAAGACATTTTCTCTTAGTGGGTAGGAGGGTTTCCCTGTAGAGCACACAGATTCCCCTCAGCATCCCTAAGGCATCTTTTGGGAGCCAGTATCTGTCCAAGCATTGAGATGTCTTAAATATATTAGTCAGCATGTTCACCAATGTTCTCTTATCATCGTTGCCTCACCAAACCTGAGCAAGTAGAGATTATGATTCGACAGCCAAATTGACATGGCCTGAAACTGTTCTTGATCTCCCACTGACAACATTATAGGATGGGGTGACTAATCTGGGAGGACATGTTTGTTTTACCAGCAACGTCTTACCACTCCTGTATTCCTCCACCTCGATCTCTTCCTCCAAGTGCTCAGAGGCAGTAAGGAAATCTTCTTCAATTGAAGACAGGGAACAGTTTGTGTCATCCTCCAGCTTCAAAACATTGGTCTCCAGGTGGAGCTGGCGCTCCTGCACTACTTCCAGACCAATTAAGAACTTGTTGATCTCAAAGATGATGCAGTTGGTACTGTTTGGTCTGTTTCCTCTTGCACATTGTACCAAGCAGATATCAGGCAGCCAAGGACACTAAAGACAGAGAGACAAAAAGGCACTTTCTCCAAAATGACAAAAAAGACAATTGTCCATGACAATTTTCTTCTTCCCAACCTCTCCTGTGAAAAGGAGAAGGCTCTTAAAGATATTTGAAATATCCTCAGTGTTCCTGCTGGCAAACTGTTTGAAAAAACATCATAAGACATTTTGGAACACAGGGCATCTAGAAGAAAGTTTTACTTAAAAGAAAACAACTGGTTGTATCGTATATTCGGGATTTTTCTCATTAAAGCAAAAGACAAGCTGTTCAAAGTTGAATAGGCAAGGAAGATTTTAGTATCCAACAGTATTGAAATAAGCAGAGTGAACACAGAACCCAGGCCATCATCACTGTAATGAAACGCAAAGCAATGGGTATTTAAGGCCTTTTTCTTTTCTTTTTTTCTTTGCTAATTGGCTTTACACAGGGAAAAGTGAAATGTTGTCTATCTGGGGGCAAAAAGCCTATAGATATTAGTACCCCATTCCCTTCTAGAACGAGGAAGGGGGCACTGATCTTAATACATAGTTTTCAGTCTGTGGGTAAAACACTAGTAGGTTATAAAACTGGATAGAGGCTTTACAAAAATTAATTACATTTCAAACGGGAAAGAAATCACAGCAATATGTTACTTGGGCTAAATGCTCAGAGGCAGGACATAGGCTGGGGCCTGGGGTCAGGAAGAAGCTTGGTTGAAGGCTTCCGGGCCACCTCTCTTGATTAAATGGAGACTTTCTCTCAGAACATTATCCTTTGCTAGCTTGATAGTAGCCAAGTGCTTTGACTTTTTTTTTTTGTCAGTGTTTGGGATATGAAGTTAAGTGTTCTCTCAACTATATTCAGGCTTCACATTGGTGCTGCTGTCTTGAAGATGGAGCCAACATGAAATCTAAAGACACACTCTGAAAGAGGCCAGATGGTCTCTACAGCACTAGCACACACAAAAGGCCAGTGACGAAGGGGCCTGAATGATGGCATAGTACCTTGGGTAGACCTGATAATACTATTCGGGTTTAGAGTTATGGACCATCTGGTTATTCTCCAGGATTCATCTTCATTATTCATCATATTTCCATTAAAAGAGCAGCAAAAGTTTTAATTGCTCCTGAACAGATAACAAATAAACCAAAAAAAAAAAAAAAAAAAAAAACCACCAAACCAAAAGGAAACAAAACAAAGATTGTGCACAATTCTCTGCATGTGTGTCTATGTATACATATATGTATATGTATGTGTTCACAAGTGTCATAGGCTGTACACGTGGAAGCTAGAGGTTGACGTTGGGTGTCATTTGTCATTCTCTACCATTCTCCATCTCATTTTTTTTTTTGAGACAGTGTCTCTCAGAAAACTTGGAGTTTTTTGCTTTGGCTAGGTGGGCCCACTGCTAGGTGGGCCAGTAAGACCCCAAGACCTGCCCACTGCTATGCTCATATCTCACAGCATTGGGATTATGCTACATTGTTATAACACTTGTCCTTTACTTGAGTGCTGGGGCTCCCTCCTAAGGCCAGCATGCTTCCACAACAACTATCCTACCCACCGAGCTACTGCTCCAGCCCCTACAGTTTCATTTTAATAATAGCAATAATGTGTGGATTTACAGCAGATTTCAGGGGAAATGTCTCCAGATGGACATAAAAGTTAATGGACAGGGAGAAAGTCAATCCTTAAGTGGAATTAGAAATGTTTGGGAATAAATATTTTATGTCTGAATGGTCACTTTTAAAAAGGACATTTCAATTCTATGTTCATCTGTGGATGGCGTTAATCAGGTCTAATGCTTGTGTATTTATTAGTGGGGAGCACAAGGCTGTACAAAAGGATACATACACATAGATGCCCACATGCTAGCTTCTAAAGTACTTTAACATTTTCTTTTAATTAATTAATTAATTAATTAATTTAATATAACCAAGTCCATTTAAATGAAAGCAAACATTTAATGAAGATGTGGCACATCTACACAATGGAATACTACTCTGCAGAAAAAAATAATGGTATCTTGAAATTCGCAGGCAAGTGGATGGCACTTGAAGAAACCATCCTGAATGAGGTAATCAAGTCACAAAAAGAGGAACATAGTATGTACTTACTTTAACATTTTCTTATCTGTCTGACATATACGAATTTTTGATTGAATATTGTAACTAGAGTAATTGTAGGAAAGATGATCTTAAAACAAAGCAGTCAATCATTTGCATAATGGTTCAGGATTTCCTAGTTTGCAGGGACAGAATTTAGCCATGCACATTTGTGATCTGAACTGTCTCTCAAGGATGGTGGTGCCTTGTGTTTCAAAATGCAGTACACAGACTGGAAGTCTCAGCCTTTTCTGGATGCTCTTTTGAAATGTGTAATTTCAGACTTTAACCCAGTTACACTAAATCATGGCATGCTTCTTCAAGGAAGTCACATGCGTGGACTTAGAGATGCACTGGCGTGTTGCTTTTACTGAACCCACAGACCTGGGGTTCTTCATCCCAAGTGGTGAAGAACAGTAATTCTTTCTTTCCTCTGAAATAGTTTCCTTTCTTCCAAACTTAGACCTAGCCCATTAATTTGAAAAGTACCAGACATCTTCTGACTGTTAGACACAAAGTACACTGTGAGGAACAAAGCAGGACAGCCAGGCAGTTACCATAAAAGGCAGCCCACCATATCTGCCAACTGTAAAGAGAATTATTAACTGGAACCATGTGCCAAGATAATTTCTTATTGGCTACTTAATATTATTCAGATTAAGTGTGCAACATAACAAAGCAATGTGGATCAGGAATAGTCCAAGATAGATTTAAAGTAACTTTTTTGTTGTTGTTGTTAATTGTGCACTGCTACACAGGTTTGGAATTTTTTAGAAAGAAAGTGTACTTTTTTAAAAGTCTCCTAAAAATAAATAAAAATCTAAGAGTTGTAGCCAAGTAAAGCAAAAAATAGCTTATAACACAAAGACATATCACATAACTTTATGATACTTTACATGTTCTGAACCTTCCTGATGTTGCCATCCTTTAAGATAGTTCTTCATGTTGTGATGAACCCCAATCATAAAATCATCTTCATTGCTACTGCATACCTGTAATTTTGTAACTGTTATGAATAGTAATATAAATATATATGTGACCCCCAAGGGTGGGCCATAACCCCCCCCCAGGTTGAGAATCACTGCTTTACAGGGTAATTTTCAAATCTTGCTGATTCCAATGTAATTGATCTATATATTTATGAGGCTGGCAATCCATGGCTCCTTCACTGACAAGAATATAGAGCCAAAATTATCTAACTCTTCCTTCCAAGGCTAGACAAGTACACAGTGTAAGAGCCAGAAATGCAATTCAGGCTTAATGCACACTAGAGGTATTCTTTATCCTCATGGTTGCTTGGTCCAAACAAAAAATACCCATTATCCACAGAAGGTGGAAACTGGTGTGAAGTTTAAAAAGAAGAGAGGCTGCACCTGGGCCTTTGCAAACCCATGCATGTGCAGTTAATTATACCCTCCTTTCATCTCATAGGAAGGATAACCACAGGAGTGGACCTCACTGTTGTATATGATAAGCTTCTCAATACATAGTCAAGTGTTCCAGTTAGCTCTTATTGTCAACTTGACACAAACCTGAGTCACCTGGGAATAGGGAACCCCAAGTGAGCTGTCTCAGTCAGATCGGCTCATGACCATATTAGCGAGAGATTGTCAGATGAGAGATGATCTAGCCCACTATGGGTAGCACCATCCCTAGGCTGGTGAGCAGGGGATGTGTAAGAAAGATAAGGGTGTCAGAAGGTGAGTAGCATTCCTTTGTAGTTTCTGCTTTAGTTCCTGCTCTGATGTCCCTCAATGATCGACTGTTACCTACATGCGTAAGCTAAAACCTTAAACCCTATTATCCATAAGCTGCTTTTGTTTACAGTGTTCATTGTAGCAAAAGAACTCAAACAGGACTGAAAGTAAATCATTTTACTTAGTATTTTATGTAACTATTGGCTATTGAAATTCTTTTCTTATTATTACTCTTCTTAGGTGATGACAGTGCATGTTCATTAATGCTTTGAGATGTATGCATGTGGACTGTTGGGTATGTACTTACATATACTTAATAATACACATAGACATAAGGCTCCAGCTAATGACTGTAAGGGTGTTTCCCAAAAGCCAGGTCTTAACTTGCTCATGACTGTATTCCCAGCATGGTCAAGAACTAGAGGCACTTAGTAAGTCATCAGTGTATTGTTAGACCATTTCTACTACTAATCCCTACTAATCCAGTTTATGCCAGTCTCTACATCCTTAATTGTGGTTTAACAGAGTGCCAATTTTAATGGGTGGCAATGCAGACAATCATAGAATATCTTTGAAAAGTAGATAGATACTTGCTATGGTGGCCAAGATGGGGTTCAGTGTTGATGCTGCTCCCTTTTCTGACCTATTAAAACATGTGATGTGGTAACTACAAAAATCAGCTTTGGGAAGACCTGGGAATCTGCAGAGAGGCAAAGGGATACAGGATAAGGAATGGACAGTCTAATAAAAAGGAAGTATGAGATGAAAGTGATAAACCTGACAGATAAGAATTGATAGCTTATAGGTAAAATGTTACAAAACTGAACATTTTGTTTGTCTTTTGACATGGGTCTCAAACTCCTATCCTCCAGTGGTCCTCCAAATCCAGCCTGACAGATAGTGGGGACTATAAGTGGCACACAACCGTGATTGACTTTGAACACTTTTTACTATGTGATAATTAATGAGTTATTGGTAACTCTACTCCCAAGGGTCTCATGGAACATCTTTGCTTCTTTGGTGAACATAATTTAACCTCTTTGTCTTTATGTTCTGTGAGGCAGAATTTTCTGCTTCATTTACTGTTTGGGACATTCACAGGAAGTTAATCTCTGAGTTCAGGGATGAATCTTGCCTGGACAGTCTTAACAGTATATTCCTCAAATGAGAGTGACCGGTTAAAAAATGAATATATAACACATGAGAGAACTCACTCAATGTGGCATTGGAAAACTACCTGAAGTGTTAGTTTTAGTCAACTTGGACAAAAGGATAACGTCTCCTTGTGTTTGGTAAATAGGACCTACAGAGAGAAACCAGGAAATAGATTATAAGGAAAATCCATGTCCTGTCAACATGGTTCAAGTCCTTTCATCTTTCTACTCCCTGTGTTTGCTTAGTTATACATACATTCTCTGTGTGCTTACATCTATTTTCAGTCATTTTTTTTCTCCAGCCCTTCCAGCCATGTTTAATTAAGAATCTTAACTAAGATCAATCAAAGTCTACCAAGCCTAGGTTCAATTAATGTAAGTATCACTTTTCTTGGCTATATGAAAAGAAAATTGGGTCTTCTCAATAACACCTGAAATTGCCAATATTACCTATAGCTGAGCACATCAGTAAAAACCGATCTAGTATTATAAGGTAGACAGAAAAAAATTTCTCAATTGTTTCTATATCTAAAACCATAACATATAATTTGTGTAGAAATCATGTAAAATTTATAGTTACAAGCCTTGTTGTTAGCTTCAGAATCAAGAATATGATTACTAAGCCAGAAAGCTTTCCTTTTCACTGATTGGTCACATTGTTTAAAAAGTCATTATTAAAAGGTTGCAATTTTAATATAAAGTAACTTCATTTTATTTAAGAAGATATTTAAGAGAAAAAATAGCTTCAGTTTTTTTTTGTAGGATGTTGAATTTTATACAATTTTGTTGTTCTTTTCTAAGAAAACTAAAATTCATTTTGAATAATGTGAGTTTTACAAATTCCATTTCTCAAGTTGATGCTCCAAAGTAAAAATGCATTTATTCTGCTTCATAGATGGATAAATCCAGGATGAGAAAGACCCAAATTCTTCAGATTCAAATCCCAAGTGGTGGCTTTTCAGGAATATCATCTCTCTGACTGACAAGGTGTAAATTATTATGTACTATTGGATTTTTGTTTTGTTAGTAAGAATGACCACACTAGGGTGAAGATATGTGGTCAGGGCAGTGCTTGCCCTTCACTTCCAGAACTAGTTGGAGTTTACTTTGTGATATTAAGGAACTTCTCATATATATATATATATACCTTTAACTGGGTTGTAGATCATTCCTGGGCACAAAGGCAGAGGAAATCCAGGCCTATAATTATTGTTAAAATACTTAACAACTTTCAGATTTTAATTTTTTTTTCTGGTCATCATTGTTTTGCTCAATACAAAAGGTACTTAGAAACTTAGAACTTTTCTCAATAACCCCCAGAAATCCAGATAATGAAAAATATTACTATATTGATATCTCAATTAAAAAATTCAAATAGACTAGGTAGAGATCTGCACTAAGTCTCTGGAGTCAAAAACTGAGTACAGGCTGGCCTTCTGAGTTTCTGATATCCTGGTGCACAACAAATAACACTTTAATTTGGAGCTGTGGTCTATATTATTACAGCATACCTTGTGTGTACTTGCCTTGCAAATAGTCTAAAAAGCTTTAAATGCATTCTTCAAACTAGTGCTGTAATAATTTATACAAAGCAAAAAGGAAGTATCAGAATATACAATATTTCCACTTCTACTTTATTTTTAATGATATTATTTCTTCTGGGATTTTATTCCTTGGGCCTCAAATCAGAAGCCACATTCTCTACTTACAATCTTGGCTAACTGGTATTTCTTAAGGAGCAAATAATTCCCAGAAGAATGATACTGATGGATGGTGTGATGACCAAATGATACATAGTAGAATTCTGAGTTTGTTCCTAAAAGGGGAGAAAATTGTGAAAAATATTTAGCTAGGCTTTGTAAAACAGAAAGTGGGATAACCCAGTATCTGCTTAAGCCACAGTGAAATAACACTATGGATCTGAGAACTGATGTGGAGGGGAAAATCTATCAAGCTCTAAGTGGTGCTGTCTGGGAGAAACAGAGATAAAGGCCAGTATCAAATACAGAGCTCTTGTTGGTTCTGCTGCTAAAGTTCATGCATAGCATCTGTTTTGGGGTCATATCTATCTGACTACAGAAAAGTTTTTCACTAAGTGACTAGTTGATCAAGAACTATGTTCCTTACCTGTGAAACATCGAAATCTGCCTGGAGGTTCCCAGAGGCTAACCCACTTAAGAGGACAATTTCATTTTCTTTCGGTTGTTGGACATTCATAGAGCTGATGAGTTTTGGAAGGTCTGGTGAAACATTGAGCAGTTTCTGTGGAGTAAGACTTTGTTAGTTCAGAGGATTCCTTTATACATTTAAACTAGTACTTCCAAACTGTTCTATCTCCAAAAGTCATTTGTGATGGGAGATGTCATTCTGTAAATATGTTTCTCTTATTGGTTAATGAATAAAGCACTGTTATCAAATAGGAAGGCAGGATAGGCAGGACTAGGAGACAAGTAGGATTCTGGGAAATGTAGTGGGGAGAGTCAAGATGTAGAGACTTGAGAGGAAGAGGTCAGGACCCTCTCTTCAGTAAGATAAGACCACATGGAAATACTTAGATTATTAGAAATGGGCTAATAATTAAGACAGAGACAACCAATAAGAAACACTAGTAACAGATCAACAGTTTTATATCTAATACAGCATCTCTGTGTGTTATTTGGGTTTTTGGGGGCTGACAGGGCTGTGGGGCCAGGCTGGTGGAAAAACTGCTCATAACACATTTATTATTTAGAATATAGATAATTTGCTGTTTAGTCTATAGATCCTTACTATACAACCTAAGACACAGGGGTCATTGTAGAAAGAAGTTTGCTATGGGATTATTTCTAGAAATGTCAGAGAAGCTACCCATGAAGTATGACCATCATGGCTGCCTAAACCTGACCTGAACAAGGATGACACCAATGTATGTGCTAACACGCAAAGGAGAAAGCTCAAGAGGCCTCAACACTACAGAGGACTGCAGGAAATTAAGGAATGCTGAGTGATGGGTAAATAAATAGCTTTCCCCAGGGAAGAACACAACTATCTGATATGAAATGGTCATCCCTGAAAACATAACACACACACACACACACATACACACACACACCACTACCACCACCAACACCATCATCAACAATAATCAAAAAAGAGATGTGTTTGGGAGGAGCTCAGGGATAAGAGGGAAAGTTGGAAATGATGTAATTATAATCTCAAAATATAAAAACACATTAAAAACCTTGAAATCTAGAAAAGAAACTGCTTCAATTTGGATAATAAGAATTAAGGTTGGAATAGAAAATTTAAGCTTAAAAATAACTCTGGTTTAAATTTTCCAAAGTGAACATTTGGCAATTACTATCACACAATAGGAAAAAACACTATTTGGAAATATTTTTCCCTCTTAAAATTTGAGTTAAAGGAATTACTTTACTAGTAATCTTCTGTTCCAACAAACTCAATAATTAAAAAAACATCACTCTCAATACTGATTTTGGTTTGATTATGTTCAAAGCAGTTTGGTAAAGCCTATTTATGTGACATCCTATTTCATTTAATCCTTTATACAGAACCTTGTGTGACTGAGATGCCATACTTACTTTCATATATTCATTAATAGCCTATGGCCTAGAAAATGGTAACTTGCACAATTCATGTCATCTATATGAGTTGAAGCCATATAGATGGAAACTCTCTTAAATAATTCCATAAATTATGAGGATGCAGTTATTATGATGAGTCTTTGTTTCCACCCTCTCTGTCCTATCTCTGAAGGACTCTCCATAATAACTCCATTGCATAAAGTTATATGCACAATTTTCTTTGAAACCTCTTGTGCTACACAAGGAACAATATTTGGAACCTGATGAAAGTTTATATTGAGTAATCCCTGTGAGTAACTAGATTCAGTTATACCAAGAAAAAGACACAGAAGCACTGAGTAACCTTAGGTTCTGCATATACTGTGACTAGGTCCTGAATAACTGAGCTCCTAGTATCAACCGAGTGAAGCATGCATGTACTGTCATGTGATAATCCAAGGGCCAATATGTTGTTATAGCAAATGAGGTCAAACCTCTCAGCTTTGGGTATGTAATGACAAAGTATGACATTACTTAATTCTTTTTGCTGTACCACAGGCATGCTCAGCTTCTAAAGAACTGAACAGACATTCAGGAGGTTAGTGCAGCCAATGATTCATACCAGGGTTCAACCTTGGATGAGCTTGGGGAAGTTGGCTGTTATGAGGTACAAAATATTCAAGCTGATGATGAGGGTTAGACAAGGAAAACACAGTTGAGACAAGATTTGATGGCAAGAATGGGAGTCATCCTGAGAACTAGAGGAAAGGACCGACTACCTTCATCTAGGAAAATGCATGCCAGACTGTGCTGTGAAAGCTAAGAAATGACAGAATAGTCACGTTAGGATGCTGATGGGTGAGGGGAAGTGCCTCCCTGAACAGTTTTGTGGGCAGAGAGAAATTACTCTCAAACATATAGCAGGGCAACAGTCTGAAAAACTGCAGGGCAAGGTCAGGGAAATGGGCAGGGATGAAGCCATCTGCACTTTTACAGAAGAGCATCACAAAGTCTAGCATTCCTCACAGGCTCCTGGAGGGCTCCAGGTCCAGCTCTCTTACCTGCTGCAGGTGCTCTGTGCTGCAGGCATCCTTGTTTACATCCAGATTCACAAAACAGACCTGAAAAAAGAAAGCATCAATTATGTGAAGAATCTATCCATCCTGTTTGAAAAAGGATCCTAACACCCATTTGTAGAAATTATTTTAAAGTCTTAGGAATTTTATATAGCTTGACATAGAGGTCATCACTTCACTTTGGGTCTCTACAAAGATTCCCAACCCCCTTCTCACATGTCTCGATTGTCATAGCAAATGTCTTCCTTTCATAGACCAACATAGTCAAGCAATTTCCGGTTTTGCCTGTGTCACAGCAAAATCTTCAGGTTTTTGTTATTATTGAATCCCATGAAATAGAAAAGAAAACAAAGAAACCAAGCAAAGAGACCAGTAATGTGTTGAGCCTCAGCTTACAAATCATGAGTAATTGTCTACATTCTCCCAGTACAATATGTGATGACGGGTCTCTGAATGCCTGGGTACTGAGTTTATTTTAATTTATTTACATTTGTAAAGGTTGCTCCTTAGTTGTTCATCTTAGATGAATGCCTAATTCAGTCAGTTTAAAATAATGGGTACATTATTAAATATGGTTTTCAAACAACATTGAAATAGCTTGTTCCAATTCAAATTTCAAGCACAGGATACAGATAGATAGTACTCTGAACAATGGGATGAAGTTGGAAAGAAGATTAAAGATAAATTTCAAAGAGGAAAGTTGGGTTTATGAAAGTTGGAAGATTCTGTTCAGCAAGGAATAAGGAGAATTTCCATTGATGGCAGGGGTAGTGCTTGGAGATAAAACACACTGTCAGGCAACTGTTGCTCAGCCTGGGAGAAAAGGAAGTTCTGGAAATAAAATCTTACAATGATTATATCAAATCAGATGACAGGAATGAGGTTTTATATTCGTCAAAATCTTCCAAATGTTTTTATTCTTAACTTATTGATTTGAATATGTAAAACAGAGCACATCATCAAAATTTTAGTAAGATGTGTGATTTTACTAGATGCCTGCAGACCTGTGGGGCCTTCTGATTTCATTTGGTTTCTACAAAGTCATGGTTTCTCAGAATTCACCCTATTCTTTTTGAGATTAAAAGAATAGTCCACAACTGAAGGCCTTAAAAGCCAGTGTGATTTATACTCTGCTGGAGCGTGAAACAGACCACTGCTGCTCTGCTTCCAGATAAGAGATTTCCCCAAGCTTTATGGACTCTTATGACCCTTGCATTACATTCTATGGTATAGCAGGTACTTGTTCAGACAGATTGTTGGGTATTATGGAGACATAAGGCTATGAGACGCTCCTTTATTTTTATTCAAGCTCTATTTCCTCAAGACACTCTGAATGGAAAATCGGGAGTCACGGGACATGTGTCCCTTTGCAGATAATGCAATGAAAGTGCAGTAGATGGGAGTCAGAAATGGTTCACAATCTAGAACCATTTGAGGATTCGTAGAGTAATTGGAACTTTGACCTTGGAAAATTGGCTCAGTATCCATTAGCACTCAGGGGTATTGATACCACACTATCAGCACTGTAGACATTGAATTAATTTGATGACTGTCCACTTATCTTTAAAAAGGCTATTACTTTTTTCCAGGCACATCACAAAACTCTCATTATCGAGTATCATAGTGGGAAAAGGCAAAGCAGAGACCATTGAAAGGCATCTAGGATAGTGATTATCTGCCCTCTAACACAAGTTTCAGTTATAAGAAGACAAATTTGCTCATCCACGGTGGACCATGGTATGACATTTTGCTGATACATGTCAACAACCTGCTTATATCTGGCCTGGAATATTTTTGTTTCTGTATCTTGCTGTAGGATGTTGATTAAGGATTTTTAGAACTCAATTTATACTATATAAACACACACACATATATACATATATACACTGATTTTTTTTTATCAAGGGAACATTTATTCAAGAAAAAGAATAATAAGGTTTATTAGATATGAAATCAAATATCCCTTTTGTAATAAAATACCAAATATAGGTACTGGGAACATGGTTCAGTGGGTACACAGCTTGTGATACAAGTTTGAGTTCAAAGCCTCAGAAACAAAGTAAGTAATATCTAGATGTGGTAGTGTACATCTGTAATCCCAGCACCATTAGGGCAAGATTGCAGGCAGAGAATTCCTAGAAGATCCTGGTCCAGCTAGAGAAACAACAGATCTTGTCTCAAAAGAGGAATGTGAGGACCCCCCCACCCACACACACTGAGGAAGGGGAGAAGAAAACCTCTCAAATGTGAAAACTTTGAAAACCTCCAGAAAGGTGGTATTTTAACTGCCTAATATATTCCCCTATAACACCCTTCCACTAATTTCTGATTATACATTAATTAGCTCTTTTTTTTTCAAGAAGTTTTAGAATTGTATCTTCTCCACTGAGAGTAAAGCCATAACCCAGTATTGTTTTTATATGGTTTAGTGCTTTTCAGCTACTCAAATTCTTATTTATAGAACATTACCCTGTTTTTTTTAGTTTAATTTCCATTTTAATGGGAAGCTGTCACACAATTCCTTTCATGTTTGAGTTATTATAGTATTACTACTTATAGCATACTTTGGGTTGACTGAGCATCACTGAAAAATCCCACTGATGGCTGGGAAATTCTACATAGGCTAGCTCTGCTCACTGCTATCTTGTGCCTGGAGTATTGAGATGTGGAGTATGTACTAACATGATTATGACCTCTGACCTGACTCTATCATGTCACAGTGTTTGGTTTGGTTGCCCCTTTCTATGGCAAGAATATCCCTGGGAACCATTTCTTCTTGCAGGTGGCTACAAATACTTTAAGTGTATATGAAATTCCCTAAAGCCACATAGTCTGTATCTCATAACTATAATCCCATCCAGTTTCTCTAGTGTCAGAACTCACAAATGCCTTGGAAAAGTTTAGGCGCAGAATAAGATACATTGAAAATCTGAATAGAAATGGTAGCTAAAATATCTACCTTTTGAAAAGTTTGCACGGGGGCCATGCTAATCTTCTCTGTGTCGTTCCAATTTTAGTATATGTGCTGCCGGAGAAGAAACCTAAGAGTTTCATACAAGGTCCCTCGGAGAAAGGAAAGGAACAAGATCTCCTGAGCATATTGGGAATGGGTGGGAGAGCAGGGAGTGGAGAGGGAGTAAGGAGGAAGAGAAGAGGAGGAGAGGAGAACATTTGGGACCAGGAAGATTGAGTCAGGGGATGAATAGACTAGAGTAAACAAACAAACAAAAACAAAAAGAGAGATACCATAGTAGAGGAAGCCATTATAGTTTTGAAGAGAAAACTGACCCTAGAGAAATGTCCAGAGACCTACAAGATGACCCCTACTAACAATCTGAGCAACAATGGAAAGGGTAACTTAAATGCCCTTCCCTGATAATGAGATTGATAACTAACTTATATGCCATCATAGAGCCCTCATCTAGTAGCTGATGGAAACAGAAGCAGACACCACACTTAAACACTGAGCCGAACTCCAGGATTCCATTTGCAGAGAGGGAGGAGTGATAAGAAAATGAGGTCAAGACCAGGCTACAGAAACAAACAGAGACAGCTGACCTGAACAAGGGGGAGCTCATAGAACCCCAGACTGATAGCTGGGAAACCAGCATTGGACCGACCCAGACCCCCTGAACTTGAGACTCAGTTAGAAGGCCTAGGCAGTCTACAGGAACTGACAGTGGAACAGGGATGTATCCCTAATGCAAGAAAGGACTTTGGAATCACATTCCTCATGGAGGGATACTCCCTTAACCTAGAGACAGGAGGGAGGACCTAGACCCTATTCCAAATGACTTCACAGATTTTTGATGATCCCTCCTGGGAGGCATCACCCTCCCTGTGGAGTGGGGGGGGATGGGAGAAAGGGGCCAGGGGGACATTGGAGGGATGGAGAGCGAACTGGGATCAATACATAAAAAGAAAAAAATAAATATATATAAAAATAAAATAAAAAAATATTTGCAACATAATCATTTGAGAATTTTTTTGTCCCTAGCCCAGGGCCTTAGAAGTAGGACCTCTGCATATTCAGAGCTTTGCAAGCACAGCCCTGACAGTTTTACAGTTATCTGCTTCCTATTGAGATAGCCCTTGTGATTGGATTGCTGTTTACAAATGTAACTCCCTCTTACTTCAGGTTATTTCCTTGGAATTCAGTCATCCATTCATGCTTACCCCTAAGTAACAATACAGATCTTTATAAGAAGAGTAGGGAAATGGTAGGTATGGAGTGGCCAGTTTTGAGAGACCAAGCATTTATCCTCTCTGAGGTATATGTTCTTTGGGCTGTGTGCCCAGAAGACAGACAATACATGGTGCTCTTCTTGTTCTTGTGGAGTTAGGTACCTGGAAGGAGAACACATCATACAATGAGAAGCAACATTACGAGATGAGTAAAGGTGGACTGGAGAAGGATGCTGGAGTGTTGGGCCAGTCCCAAATGATATCCCAGAGAAGACACATTTGAGGTGAGCAGAAGGGGAAAGTTCCTATAATGAATGGGCGATCTTTATATGATGTACATCCACTGAGCAATCCCATGAGAGGCTTTGCATTAAGTTTGCTGGGAGGAGAAGCCAGAGCTCTGAAGCCCAAAGAAATAGGACTTCTGAGCAGAAGACCTTTCTTCTGACATAGTGAAAACTCAAGGCATCTTCTATCATTTTAAAGGAGTAGAATGAAAGAGGATATCAGCATTTTATGCTACACTCATTGCCTCACAAGTGCTGAGAGAGCGATGGATATTTCCCAACTTGACTGACAGCTTGGAAGCTTGTGATGGAAATGTTTGGTAAGAAGGTACAATAAAGTTCTGTGGAGGGTATGGTTAGACTAGTTCTGTGTGACTAAATTATGAAAGTCAAGGGATTTTTGTGCTCTGGTTCTTCAGGATGAAGAACATTTTGTGGTGATGATGGGGTTGGGAGCTGGTGCTGCAGGAGATACCAGCTAGTAGGCACCAAGGCACCTGTGCTGGCTTGTCTCCTTACTTGATTAAATGGTACAGAGTTCTCAGGGAAATACCCAAATAAGCAAATCCAAGTATGCCACGTGACTCCAGGAGGGAGCTGCTGGCAAAAGATGGTTGTGTTTACAGAATTTCCATTTCCTTGAACATGGTCTATCTTCCTTTGCCCTTTATGTGTGCCTGAGACAGGCACTGCTCCTCAGTCATGTTTTTAGTGCTTATCATAGTGCCTAGCACATTCTTTCTTTTTAAATGATTTATTTTTATTTGTGGTGTGTGTGTGTGTGTGTGTGTGTGTGTGTGTGTGTGTGTGTGTATGCAAGGTGAACATTTTGCTTTTCTTCTTGTTTTTCTATGCCTTTTCCATTGAAACAGGGTATTTTAATGAACCTAGAGGTTGCCTTTTTTTTTTTTTTTCAGTATGTTCACCTATGCTGGTGTCCAATGAGCACCTTGACCCCAACCCATGTGTCTCTTCCATCCCCACACCCCAGTTCTATCCCAGCTTCAGGAATGGGGATACAAGCTCACATAGCAATGCCTGTGATATTTGTTGTCTACTACGTAATTTTGTGTGAATGTAGTGAAATGTAGTGAAAACCAGATGTGAGAAAAATGTGATGCTAAGATCTACTCAAACAAAGTAATATACAATAAATTTAATTGGACTACAAATCAAACAACTTTTGAGAGATAAATGATTTTATAGATGAAGCCAATAATGTTATATCAGGTTAAAAACGAGTTTTAACTTGGGATTTAATTGAGAACACATTAGAAGAACTGGTGATGGCTCTCAGGATCTATATCATGTATGGACAGTTTTAGGTTGCTTTGTGTTAATTCCAGTCAACATTTTAGATTATTCATATAGACAGATGCAACAGTAAGGAGAAACCACCCTGCTTGTACCCACCGTGAGCAAACAGTGGTAGAAAGCTAGATGACAACAGGGATTTTAGCCAGGAGATGGCATCTTTGACTTTCTCTGTTAGGACTGTTTCCATGTCTCTTGAAGTCAGCTAAAAACTTTTATTCATATAGAGATGGTTCTTATGAACAGTTTATTAAAAGCAGGATGTCAAATTGGCGTTAAGATTTAGACATTTGAATGTTGTTTATGAGCAAACATATACTTAGGGTTTATTTTTGAAGACAACTAGCTCGTTTCAGCTGCTTTGAACAATGCAGCCATCTGCCCATAGGAGCTATGACAAGATCCCTTAATTTGACAGTATCAAAATGCTGATCCCTACAATGCTTTCAAAGGAAAAAAAAGAAAAAGCTGTCTCTTTTCTTCCTATAACCAAAAAAAGTCTGCTAGTTTCAGGACCCTGGACCCAATTTATCCTCTTAAAGTGTCACATTTTTTCTGATAGTAGTTTAGGCTGATGATACCAAAAGGAAAACTTTTCCATCAGTGTTGCATGCTGTCTTGTTGTCAGCCATTCTGGGACACACTCGACTCTTTGGGATGATACTGCATTTGTATACAGTTATTGCTTCAAAATAATTGCAGCAATCATACAAAACGCAAGTCTTATTTACACTCAAGGCTGTCAAACTTCTTTGCTTCCTTTGATTGTCAAAATTTAAAAAATACATTTGAAATGTTTTTCGAAGAGACAATTGAGCACTTTGTGATGAAATGCCCAGTGGAAGCTATAGACAGGGCAAAGAAATAGATATTCTAACTAACTGTACATAAAATCAATTTTACAAATTAATAGAAATGGGTTAATATTTAAGACAGAGTTAGCCAATAAGAAATACTAGTAACTAGTCAATAGCTTTATATCTAAAAAAATAGTTTTGAAAAGAGATTCATTCTAAGTAATTGTTTGAACTCAATCTGCTTGAAAATTTTGTTCTGTGCATATACAAATAAAATGGTAAGAGAATTTACTCTGCAAGCATAAAGATCTGACTTAAAATCCCCAGCATCTACCTACAAAAAGTCAGATCTGACTGCTTGTCTCTATAACCCCAGAACCGTAAGGAGGAAATGGATATATCCAGAGAGCTTTCTGGTCTACCAACCTAGCCAAAACGGTGAAGTTGCTTCACTGAAGGATCCCGTCTCATGGCAGAGAGCAACAGAGGAAGGCACAAGACATCTGTTGTCTTTGATATTTATTTTTTTTAATCCTCAGAAGAAACTGTTAATTGGCAATCAAATCTTATTTTTCATAATATTCCTTCCACAGCCATAAGTAACTACACAACTATTTAATGCCTTTCATAGAGTTTTCTATCCTAGACATTTAATAATGTAAATGCAAATATACAATATGTGGCTTTATTATGATTGCCTGACATGTTTAGTTCAATTGTACCAAGTGTGTATTTGTACTTCATTAGATTTTATTATTGAAGAATAATATTTCATTGTGAGAAAATATCCATTTTATATGTCCATTCTTAAACCCTTTGTTTCTTTTAAAAGGAATGCTTATTTCTCAATACTTTTTGCATGAGAATTTGGGAAATATAAGGTGATCTTTAACTGTACTGTGTCATTTTCATCTTGGCTGTGAGAATCTTGGTACCTCTTACTACTAAAAGGTATGCTCTTAACAAGGGATACCAAAATATTGTGGGAAGTGATGAATCAAATTCTGTTGGGAACTCTATGTACCTGGATGCTTCACTTGTAAAGAATAGAAAAAAAAAGGTGTGTGGTAGACTTAGCTCCACTTTGAACATATTTTCCTTCTTAGAGGTTATTTAGACTACTAACATGCATAGAGTTTGGATAGTTATTTTTTTCAACTCTGGAGTCATGTTGTAGGCTCGTGTATATAAAGAAAAGTCAATACATTTTAAGCAAATGAATTAGTATAGACACCTGGATGATGCTGAGGGGCCTCATATTCTGCAACAAGACACCACTCACTTTTGTTCAACATGATTTATTACCAGGAATCCCCAATACTCAAGCCTAGGCTACATAGCAGTATGATGAAGACCAACCAAGACACATAGTGAATTCATTTCTCTAAACCACCACTGCTGCTGCCTCTGCTGCCACCACCATCAACACTGCACAACCACCACCTTCCAACATCTTAG